CGATATGTTTTGGTCAATTAATAAAATTGAAAACGACTCACCGAATAGATGTTGTTTCCCTTGGATTTTACTTCGAAGCTCAGCTGGAAAGAAAAGATAAATTAATTTATTGTGACAAAAAAAAAGAATTAATACGATACCTTCACATCCTTCAACATCCATAAAATAGCAATCCCATGATGTCCTATATCACATCACTAATATCACCTAACACTTAGCATAAATATAGCACGCATTTATCACTTAATTTAAGTAATAAGTTTTATTTTTCTAAACTACTTTATCACCCTTAAATGCCCGCATATCAACTAAAATGCGTTATTAGCGGATCAACTTCCAAACATCCCCTCCTTAATTTATTGTGTGAAGAAGGAATACTGGAGGTGAATAAACAAAAAATGTAAAGGCGACGGGGCGAAGTGGTTTAACCATTTTTTGGTTTTAAAACTCAACCTTTCAATAAAAAATTACTCGTTTTGTCGAAACATTTCAAATAAACTTACGTCATTTTATTAAAATAAAACGCACTATAGAATTTTAATGCTTAACACTTCCTGCAAAAGAATCAGGTGCCCAACAAATAATTAAAACGAAGCACCCAAGACGTTGAATTATGCATCATCCCTTATTCTTTGTGTCATGAAATATAAATTTTTAAAAAATTATATCTCTAGAACGAATTGAGATATCATAATGAAATAAAAAAACAGTTTAAAGCAAATTTAATGAAGATTTAATGTATCATAAATGATGTCTTATCTTTCGTAAACTTCGTCGTTATGATTTTTTAAATCCAACTCTGTATATTTGAATGTNCATTCTACGTTATAAAAACAATTTCGCAGTCTTCGAGGAAAAAATTGATTAAAATTTGTTATAATATTTATGTTATAATTTTTAAAATTGAAGAAAAAAAAATCAAATGTTAATTGTATATAGATTTCTTCTATGTTACATATACCCTTAATTACCCCCTAAAATCTTAACATAAAAAATATTTCTCCTAAAATATGTTATAACACAATTGAACTTCCACTTTGATGCTTATAACAATAATCTCTTCCCGGTGTAGAAAATAATTTACATGGAGCACCAATTCTTGTGAGTGCTTTACAGGGTGATTTTAACGACGAAGTATTTATATGTAACGGTGTTCGACTTCTAGATCTAGAACTGTAATAACCAGATCTAGAAAGAGGCGGTGTTGGACTACAAAACTCAGAAACATTATCTTCAGCTTCAGTACATTTTTCCGACGATGAATAATTCCCATAAAACGAAGATTCTTTAGCCACATATTCAAAAGTCTTATTTTCTTCATTCATTTCATTTTCGGGCTTTGATTTTAAAAATTTAGGACTAGAAATTTGATTAGAACGTTTCATATATAGTTTTCCCCCAATAAATAACATGTTTGTCACTAAAAATTAATAATTAATAATGAGTAATTAATTTTTTTTTGTTTTTTTACCCAATAACGTTGTAAATGTGCTTATTAAAAGATCAAATGGATTCAAAGGTATCGAAATATCGTATAATCCACATGTTAAATTTGCGATTGGAATGATGGTGATTAAAATCCTACTTGGTATGTTACAACTTAAAAAGGCACAGATAATCATTCCAATTACAATAAAGGATATATGCCATAAAAGCAAATAAAGACGATCAACAGCAATATCAGTTCCACCTAATGCGGTCGAAATCCATGTTAATTTGTCTTCTAAAACCTCTCTTGTTGAATAAACTATGGATACTAAAGAATGCACAGTGGAATTGACATCATTTAATTGTTTCATTGTTGAATCATATTGTTTTTGAGCCTCTTGGTTTTGAAGTAATAAAAGTCTACTGGATTCATCTACAATTTTGAGTTTTTTTATTAATTTATTTTTATTTTTAATTTTATCTTACCGATTCGTTCAAAAATTTCTTGAGTGCGTCTTTGAATTTCAATTAAATCTTCTAACAACTCTTTATGGTTAATGTTAGTCATTTCAGTTTGATCTTCTAATTGTTTTGTGGCTTCTTCTAATTTCTTTTGAACGTTTTTAGTCATCTCAGCTAATCTTCCATGACTTTCATTAATTAATTCCTTTTCTTGTACCAAACGCCTTATGTTATCTTCAATAACTAATTGCCCATGAAATTGTGATTTTGCAATATCTTCTTGTTGTTGTTTTAATTCTTCATTTCCTATACAAAAAGTTTAAATTAAAAAAAATAATCATTGGATGTGATTATATTAAATTTTACCTTGAGCAACATTTTTTAAAGTATTTTGTGCAATATCTCTTAAATGTTCTTGTTCATTAACCAACTTATCTAAAGTTTCGACCTGATTTCGAGATGTATCTAATAACCTATTAATTGTATGCTCTGTAATTCCAATAAATTGACTTTGTCTTGCTGTATAACAAACAGCACGCACTCGATTAGCCATTAAATGATAAGCATTCCATGTATCAGCGTCCATTTGACCGGTACATTCTTTTATGGACATATTTTCATTGCATGGATATAATCTACGTTCCTCAATAGCTGATTGGCAATTTAATAGCATTACAGCCATTTTAGATACCTCTTCATCATTCATTTCATGACACCCCTTCTTCAATCTAAGTACAATCTAAATATTTGCTAAATAAATATTGATTACAATGACTTTTTTATTTTACATACCCTCTGTTGGCATTTATCAAGCTCTGATAAAGCAACACCTGTTAATTTTGCTGCTTCTTCAATGAATTTTTCATCAATTGTGGATACTTCATAAGGTATTTTCTGTTGGAAACCTTCCAAGCTAGTTTGGTCATCATTTCGATTAGAATAACCGAAATAAGTTGTTATTTGACGAAAGTAATCTTGAATTCCAGCACAGCACGTGTTTAGAGTTAAGAATAATAAAAATAGTTTAATATTCATTGTTTATTTAGAATATTTAGGAAAAACCGTTTTAGACCTTGCGCTATTTTGTACGATTTGAATTAAAAACGTCAAAATAACAGCTGGATTTTTATGTAACATTGGAAACCTTTTCTGATTGGTTGAACTTCAAAAACCGTTGGAAACCGTTAATTTTGTGGATACAGATTCCTGTAATATATATATTTATTTTTAGTATCTAAAATAAATATTATTTTAAGTAAAAGTATTTATTTAGTACTAGCCCAAGTTTATCAATTACGCTATATCTAATCTAAAATATTTGAAATAAAATCTTGAAATTGAATTAAATTTTAAAAATTAAATCAATAAAAGTTTACTCGTTGAAGATAAATACTGAGTTATTTACGACTTAAATAAAAAAGCCTTATATATTGAACTTAAATATTTATCTTATATTTATTAACTGAATTTATCAATATTAGTATTCATTAATCTCTAATTCAGTTACTGAAATATAGATGGCACTGGATTGGCTTTAATTCTTTTGAAATTAAGAAAATATTTATTATTTAAATTCGTATCTTTATCATCTTATTTCAATATGTAACCAAATAATTAAACATTATTGTCAATTCTACCTTAAAAACATGATTACCCAAATATTCAGATTAAAATTTGCAAAGAATGTAAATATAGTAAATAAAATATCTATTAATAGTGCAAATACATTTATTAATTCGAATTACAAAAATACACAGAAATATAATACAGTTAACTCAATTAGAATTAGATTCCCGACTCCACGGTGCATTAAGAAGTTCACGTAACAATAACTGCTTCTGCCAAAGGTACTCTAATTTCAACAACATCTCCAAGCATCGTAATCTGTTTTCGCGTATTTGCAACATTTTCAATTCCCGTTCCGTTTCCGATACCTCTTTAACCGAGGCTCTTATAGTGGTCGGTTTTAACGACCTTCTTTTCCTTCGTACGATAATACCTTTGCGTCCCTTCTTTTGCATATCAACCCAATCGTGCACTAAAAATTGTCCAAATCGGTCAAAATAACTCGCTTTCTTCAAATTAAGAACGTTTTAAGCAGTTGTTGGTGTAAAAAGTACAAATTTTCTTCGATACTTTTCTATGTTTTGTTTATCCGGGATTCTAACCTCAAATTTTATGAAGAATGTCACTTATAGAAAGGGACATACAGTAATACCAATACAAAATTTAAGATAAATAAAAATAAGAGTATAGGCAACCAATATTACAATTTTAACAATTTATTAAACAAATTTTAACAAGATTTATTTCGTTGTAGGTAAAATAACTAAAATTCACTATATTAGAACTCGCAATATACTTTTTATTATTTCATACGTATAATAATAATAATAATATAAACAATCCAATTTAAACCCAACACATAAAATAGTATAAACAATTACAGTTAGGGTATATTTGAAGGCAAAAGAGGGGAAAAATCAATAGAGTTGGGATTTGTACAAGAAGAAATTAAAAGACGGTAGTCGAGACTACATCGTATAACATTATTAAAACCCTTAATAATTAATAAAGGTTTTGGTTAAATTTTTTTTAAATTTTATATTTCTCTTTTATTTTAAAGTGGTCTGCGTGAAGGGTAATAATATAAAAAGGTGCAATAAACTGTACACAACGTGGTGATTAATATACACTGGTACATTCATATGAGGCTTACTTCAGACTAGTAGAGGTGGCTTTTTATACAATTTTCTTTTTTTTAACCAATCTTACGAAAACCCGTCAATTCTAAAATAAAAACAATTTATTAATAAAAATAAAAACATTTTCAATCCAATTTCAATTTTTACCTGCAGAGAGAGCTGGGGGTTTCGTTCCAATTGTAAAATATGCTGTTGAGCGTGCGCTAACTGTCTGGTAGCGCTCCCCAATTGTTCCTCCAAAGCAGCAGCTTCCAAACATTTCACAGACAATCGTTCGGTTAATTCTAAAAGTTCATCTTGTTGTTCCCGCGCAAAATCCTGCTTAAATCGGGCCACTTCCCTTTGAACTTCCGCTTCATGAGCTTTCCGCATCGCGTCCAAAGCCGCCAAAGTCGCTTGGGTTTCCTCCGCCAACGCTTGCTCTTTGTCCTGTTTTAACGCTTGCAGCTCACGCGAATGTTGTTCTCTTAAATCTTGCAAAGTCCTGCGATGCCAGTGTTCCATGGCGACTAGGACTTGCTCACAAAGAAATTGTAATTGCTCCAAATCAGCTTGTTGTTTATGATTTTCACATTCTGTAAGTGTACGTCTATAAGCTGCTCGAAGGTTTTCTACTTGATTTAGGTACTCTGTGCCGAGATAGAGTGGTTTTCTATCTTCGTCGTCCGACCTAATAATGCAATATAAAGTTATAAGTTATGCAAAATGATAGATTTAAAAAAATTATCTTAACATTCTTTAAATAAATTATTTAACGATCAAAATAAAACTTAAATTTTATAACACTGTTTGAAGGATTTTTACTTTGTTTTAATTTTTAGGACATTATCAGTATTTTTCCATTATAGTGTAGAATAATGGAAAGATTTAATTTTTTTTCGGTTGCCACACCAAAAGAAATAGTTTGATACCAGTCTTGATACTAGAGTAGCAGATTTTATTTGCTACATTCCCATTGGAACCCACTAGGAGGCATCTGCACTATCATAACTGAGAAAGATATCTACTGCTTGCTCATCATATCTACTACTAACGTAGACATGCATAGTTTTATGCACATTTGTTTGTTCTAGATATATCCAATATTCCCCGACCTCGTAAACTTTTGTAAACTCTGACATGTTTATGTTAACATTCGCGAATTCGCCAGTGCGTATAGTGCTTGATATGTTGAGATATCTCATTATAAATATGTCAAAGGATTTTTCCAATCAAGATACCGGAGATATAAGACTTTAGTCCGAAAAGCGATATTGTGTTTTAGCTAGTTATTAATAATTAGACACAATAGTTTGGCCGACATAAATTTACGATGCTTAAACAAAGTGAAATCAACACCCATCGTAATGTAATTGTAAGTCGTAAGAAAAATGCTTCCCAATATCATCAATCATAGCAAGAATACATACGAACATGACGCTTTGTACTGTCCATGTCAATTTGCAAATCATTTGCTTAAGCTGTCACAAATCATTATTCGAAATTGTACTGGTGTCACAAAAATCCGAGAGCCTACCTTTGCGATGTTGTAACTTTGTTCGTTTTTGTTGTACTAAAGATTTTTCCATAAATCCAAAGGATTGCTTTGTATGTTTTCAAGTTTGTGTCCGACGTAGACCGTGCCATGGTATTGAGGTTGAGCTGAGCCGGCGTGACTTTGAAGAAGATCGGAAAAATCAGAGGAGCTTCCTGTACACAATGGTGGCATCAAGTATCGTCCCAGAAGTGGTAGACCAAAGGCTGATAAGAAGGTTCTGATTAAGCGTATCCAGGGCAAGGTTCGCCAGAAATCCAGGACGAGTCTCAGAAAAATAACTAAGGGTAATAACTAACTAAATATCTGCGTTTGGAGCTTCGTAGCATCAATATGCAAAAGACTTCCACTTCGTCTGACCAGATGGCATGGTCACTATGCTTCCCGAAAGGCTAATGCCTCTGATTTTTGTGGATCAGACGATCAAGTACAACTACCAGAACAACCTTGCTGAGATTCTGATGAAGGAACTGCTTCCTTGGAGCCAATCTTACTTCAACGAACTCTCTTGGACATTCCAACATGACTCAGCGCCCGCGGGCAAGTTATATCCATATTCGGATCAATTTTCCAGCCATGATCACCTTCAGGAAGTGGCCCTCGACTTTTCCATGTAGTCGGTCTTTCAGATCAAGGCCTGTACTACTCCCCACAAGAATCTAGGCAGTCTAAAGTGCATCCTTCAAAAGGCATAAAACGATTTCGACATCGAGTATCTCTTCGCCACGTTGTTGCGTTCTCCTATGTATGTATATTGTTGTTAATGTTTGAATAAAATTTATGCCAAATTTCATGTCTCTATCTGTTTCAGTTCTGGATTTATCAACAGAAATACCGTGCTAGCTGACTTTTGTGACACCCTGTAAAGAGCTTAAAAGAAGCTTAAACTTAATTGCACGAGGCGATACAATCTCATATATTCCAAATCTTCTGATATTATAAGTTACAGAAGTACCCAAAGTAAAATCGAATTTTACATAGAATTCTATGTCCAGAGTAAAGTTTAAGACTCGATGATATTGATCCGCAGGTACAAATAGCGAATCTCAATGTGATACATTTATTTATTTATTCAAATAATTAGACATTATTAATTTGTTGCAAATTAAGATGTGCTAATTCTCGTAAAAAACGAGATGATCCCATGGTTATTTTTGAACAACAGCCATTAAAATTTCCCATTCGCCAAACATTAAGATACTCAACTGACGACTTTTACTCCTATACAAAAAAGGTCTTCCAAAAAATCAATCGAAACGCACAACGTATTGAAATAGTGAAAATTCAATATAAAAATGGTGAGAATTTTGCGGAGACAATTCGCAAAGTTAAAGTAGTATGAGTTTTTGGTCATCATAAAGCACAAAATCCAGTTTGCACCGTATTTTGCAAAAAAGTCTTGCCCAAAAAGCTTACAAAGTCCAGCTGATGCAAAAATGAAAGCTAAAAGATCACGGATAACGCCGTACATTCGACGATTTGGTGCTCGCAATGCATGAACAAAACCACGATTTTTTTAACAATGAGCCTCATCACTTAGAGTAATGTAAGTGATGAGGCTCATTTTCATCTATCTGGTTATGTCAACAAGCAAAATTGTCAGAGTTAGGGCTTCGAAAATCCAAGACAAGTGGTCGAACAAGCACTTCAACAGCTATGAGTGACAGATTTGTGCAGGTTTTATGATACTCTGATTTTTTTTTGCCAGAATAGCGCAGCACCTTATATATACTGCTCGTGAAACTATTATTCCTATTGCAAATAAAAATGTCCTGGAAGCGTTTAAAGACAACATAAAACCGCTGTTTCATTTTCTTTACTTCGAGCTAGTCTATTTCTAACTGGCTTTTTATAATTCACATTTCCCGTTTCTACAAACCTTTCTAATAAATTTTGGGGACTTCTTTTATCGGGATGTCGTCGTTCCGGATAACGCTGTGCGTAAACTCGACTTGCCAAAAAACAGTTCTTTTCACTTTCCCCTAATATAAAAATCATATCTACGAGTTCTTCTTTGTTGTACAGCATAGCAAAAAATAATATTGGTGTGTAAATAGCTTAAACAATTAGTACTGCGAAGGTAACAATGTTTAAAACATTTACTTTACTAACGTCAAAATATGATTTTTTAGTCAATTGTTTTCATAGCCACGATGGCTTTTATTAGTTATTAGTTTATTAGTTTATTGCCGTTGGAATAGATGAAATACGAGTTTGCGGCGAATAACGTTTTAAATGTCAGGAATTGTGATGGGGTTGTTATTACAAAATATTTTTGTTTTTTAATTCTGCATCGATTTACATAAAAATATGTAGGGGGTCCAGTTTAAAATAAGAGAGATAAAATGCTTTAAAGTTTGAAAGTTTTGACATTAGATTTTGGCCAGCCTGTATAATTTTGAATCAATGGAACTTGGTTAAGGAATCACTAGACCTTACTTAATAAATTTGACATGAAACTTTATTAATGAGGCGCTTTGTAATTATGATTAATTTTTAAAACCAGCGACGCAAATACGATTTTTTTTCGTTTTTATTTTTTTGTACTGCTGTCATTCAGCCGATTTCAATAAAATTTTGGAACTGATACTGGAACCATAAAAGACACCCAAAAATGTGAGAAAAGATATATCGTGCCTTTTAAAAAAATATATCATCATAATTTGCTGAAATGCGACCGGAGATACAGTATAAGCCTGCAAAATATTAAACTCCTAACTTAATTAATAACTGAGTTACAGAAGACGGGGCTGAGCTGAAGGACCCTGTATCTGGCCTATCCAACCATTTTTTAAAATCCGGCTATTTAAAACCTATTACTTAGTACTCCAGCATTCACAGGAATTAGTATCTCTTTTAGGTGTTGGACACTGCAGAAAATAATTAAGTTCAACCCCAACAGGACTTTTTTCATTGAATACAACTTTATTTATCATTAGCAACCTCATTGTAACATCCCAATACGATATATAGTTTTCTTCTCTTCGCTTGTAATTCATCATCACATTCATTACTAACAGAACTGTCGGTGTTATCACTTTCGATTATTAATTAAAGTATCTTCTTCTTAATGCAAAAAGCCTTTTTGAAAAATCACTTTCAGTTCTTGAGAAATGAATTTTTTCGAATTTTGCAATTTTTGCCGATTAAGTTTTAAAAATTCGTATAAAATCCAGTTCTTGGAATATGAGTATGAAAATTTCCAAAAGTGTTAATAAAAGTATCCTCTTTCCAATGAACCAAACCGTTTTGAAAAATAACCTTTAATTTTTTGAGAAAACAATATTTGAAGTTTAGATAAAATTTTGGATGTTGCAATTTTCATCAATAATTTTCAAAATTCGCTATAAAATTAATTTCTTGAAGGATCCTTGTGGAAATATCACCAATTATTAATTAAAGCATCCTCTCTTTAAAGCAACAAGCCATTTTGAAAAATCATTTCAGTTCTTGAGAAAAAAAATTTTGAAACGAAAATTTTCGAATTTTGCAATTTTCGCTGATTAAGTTTTAAAAATTCGTATAAAATCCATTTCTTGGAATATGAGTTGGAAAATTTATCAAAGTGTTAATAAGAGTGTCCTCTTTCCAATAAACCAACCCGTTTTGAAAAATAACTTTTAGTTTTTGAGAAAACAATATTTGAAGTTTAGATAAAATTTTCGATGTTGCAATTTTCATCAATAATTTTCAAAATTCGCTATAAAATTAATTTCTTGAAGGATCCTTGTGCAAATATCACCAATTATTAATTAAAGCATCCTCTTTTTAATGCAAAAAGCAGTTTTGAAAAATCACTTTTAGTTCTTGAGAAATAAATTTTTGAAGTAATCGACAATTTTTTCGAATTTTGCAATTTTCACCGGTTAAGTTTTAAAAATTCCTATAAAATCCAGTTCTTGGAATATGAGTATGAAAATTTCCCAAAGTGTTAATAAAAGTGTCCTCTTTCCAATGAACCAACCCGTCTATATTTGAAGTTTTGATGAAATTTTCGATGTTGCAATTTTCATCGATAATTTTCAAAATTCGCTGTAAAATTCATTTCTTGAAGGATTCTTGTGGAAATATCACCAATTATTAATTAAAGTATACTCTATTTAGAGTTGCTTCATTAGTTAAATCAGCATCAATAAAGTTCATTTTGTATCTTGAATGAAAATGCACCAGAAATTATAACCATAATGGCATAATGATATACTATCCAACATGAGATTTTATTTGCAGCAGTTCCTATATAAACAGGGAATAACTTTCCTTCTTGGTCCATGGGAACCACAAACTAAATCTGAAGAATAAAACTGAAGAGAATGACTTTTATGCTTCTTATATCTTGTTAATAGACTTTAGATCTCTGGGAGTTGTGTACATTAAGCGACTTATGTTTCATTTTTGTTTCACTATTCTCTCTATCTTTGTTCTTAAATTAAAACTGTTCCTGCTATCAGGTAATATCACTTAACTTCCTCAATAAATTTGTCCTTTCCTACAAGTTATATTACTCATCCATACTCTGTATGTACTTCGTAAATAAAACACTCCCTGTAGACGTTAACAACCTTCACTTGATATGTAGAAATCAATAAAGTAATATTTGATCAATAAAGAAGTATATTGAAATATCAATAAAGAAGTATTAGTAAAGTACTCTTCAGAAAAAAAAAATACTAAAATTTACAATCCAAATAAAATTTGAAGATATTACATTTTTTGGATCACAAATATAAACTATATTCGTTCTTTTAAAAGCTAAAGAAAATCATCATCCGCTTCAGTTTCCAACCCAACCCAACAAATATGACTTAGAATTGAAATGTGTTTTAATTAAATCTACTTCAGAAAATAATTGTTTAACACAACAAACAAACTGTATGTATTCTAATCTAACAAATAATTTTGTATACATTTTTTATCATCCTTCATTGAAATCTGTTAAAAATATACTGTTCAAATTTGATCTAATCTTATCCTTCTATAAAAGGCATATCATCTCAAACATCTTATTCAATTACAATTCTAAGTCAGATCTATCACAACAGAGTTGTGTTTATTCTATAAATAGTGTTAATTTTAATTCACTCGAGTAATTTCTGTTTCCTTTTAACCTTCCTTTTATCTTTACATATTCATTTCTGCGAGAGTCCTCGCCTTGTTTTTCTTGTTTCATGGTTGGTTTATATGTTTTTATGTTATAAATCATTTTAACTATATTTATTTATACAATAAAACCTCGATATAACGGATACATCAGTATATTTAAATATACTGTATGTTCCATGTTCATAGATAAGCTCGGGGTATTCCCCTATACCAGGGATTTTCAAAGTGTTCTACAAGTTTGAAACGCATAAAATTAAAACCATATTCGAGTAATAACCATAACAGCAAACATTCTAGCGCAATATTTTTCACATTATTCAACATCCATACATCAGAAAAATACTGATTAAATCAAAGGTTTAAAACTTTATAAATAAAATAATAAAGAATACCCGAAATATATAATATAAAATATGAATTATTTAAGTAACTTACCTTCTAGTACGTTTAATTTCATAAATAACTTGTTTAATTTCATTTAATCTTCCCCTTAATTCAACACATTTCCTACAAACATCTTGAATGTTATAAATTTCGATTTTTTCTTCGTACTTCCCGCAGCTACAGAAACACGCCAATTCGAATACTTCTTTCGATAAATCTTGTAATGCACTTCTAGCGTCCATCAAATCCATTCTAGCCAAAGAATCCGAACATTCCATTGAATATTGTTGGAATAAACACCGAAATTCGGCTTCCAAACTTGCAATGGATTTAATATTGGATTCTTCGCCAAAATCGAATGCTTTATCGTTTTGTAAATATTCAATTAGATTTTCTTGGATGGTGTTACCCGCGTTGTGATTTTCGTTTTGAAATGAAAATTCTGATTTTAAAACGGAAATTCTCGCGTCGATAAGCGATTTGTGTGCAATGATATCGGCGTATTCGTTTAATAATGTGTTTACGTTGATGGTTGATCGTTCGGATTCTAATCTTCTTCGCCAATTTTGTCTTTGTAATTTTTGTAGGCTTTGTTTGTAGTTTTCGGTGAGTTCTTCAATGTTTTTATCCATTTCAACTCGGAGTCTACTTTCAACGGAATCAGACCATAATTCCAATGCCGCTCTTTCGTATGCGTAAAAACTAAAGAAATTGCTTTGGTCTGAGCTTGATTGTTCTTCATACAATTGAGCGGTTCGTATTAAAGTATGGTTAATTTCCGATTGAATTAATTCTGTATTGACAATTTCTTTAGCCGCTTTCCACATGTCATTTATTAAATCTTTATCGAAAGATTTAATGTGACACGTTTGATCTGTGGCTAGATTAATGGTTTCAATTGCCAACGCTTCAGAAAGTTGAGGTAATTTATTTGATTTGTAATTATTTAATAAATTATTTATTTTAGATTGTTCTTCTTCTAACAGTTTGATGAATTGATTGAAATTTGTGATTTTATTTGTTCTTGTAAAGTGATATTTATGTTGAGTTATTAATAATCTTCTTGTTAAAACTTTCGTTAAATAATCCATGCTTGTTTTATAAATTGGAGGTTGTTTTTTGCCGCTTCCGTTTAATTTTGATCTTAAGCTATGTAATAAATTCGTCGTTTCGATAGCTTCTTTATTTAACAGTCTTTCGGAGTAATTATCATCTAAAGTTGACATTTGTACAGCTTGTTGAATACGTTCGATAATTAAATTTTCGTAAGCTAATTTTTCGGCTAATAATTCTATTCTTGTTTGATCGTTTAATTCATTCGATTCTTGAAGTATTCTTCTTTTTTCGTATAAACTTTTTAATTTCTCCCTTAATAAACACTCTAATTGTTTAACAACACTGCCAGCAGATAATTTCACAACATTAAATTCATTTTCGTTAATTGTCCTACCCAAAATTTCACCCAATTCACATAAATTAGTTTCTAAATTCATTAATTTCTCACCGCCACTTAATTTTATCGAACCCAAAACGTTTTTACAATCGTTTAATTTTTCATTTGCCGCCGTAATAATACTTTCGCAACATAAATTTTTATCATCTTGCTTCTCACTTTGTCCAAACACTCCTGAAGATGTATTTATACTTTCATTAGAAGTGGTTACACCCGACACTTTCCCTTCTAAGTTACTTAATCGCATTAGAAGCTTCATCGGTTCTGAGGATGTTGCGCTATCAAGCGATTTTCTACGAATTCGGCGTAAAGATCGATCATCAATTGGTGATCCTCTTTCGCTACTACGCTCACGGCGATGTTTTCTACGCCATTTATCACGTTCTATCGTCATGATTTTGGCTTCAAGTTCGGTTATTTTATCTTCAACTTCTTTATTTATTGAAAAATTTTCGCGTCCTTTTAATGATAACGATCTTCGTTTTTCCCTAGAATCTTGAAGTTTCGATTTTAATGTTCTAGCTTGTCTTTCAACCGTGGCTAATTTAGCCGTTAAATCTTGTACTCTATCGGCCATTAAAGCCGATTGTGCCTGAGCTTCTTGTTCCGCCATTTCAATACTTTTTTTGAGACCCATATTTTGCAATTCGAGATGATCGTATTTAACATGGGATTCTCGGAGTTCTCTTTTTAAGACTCGTATTTCGACTACGGCCTTTTCGAACCTGCTGCGAAGATCGAGACATTGTTCGATTAATTCGTTATGGTTCAAATTGTCTAGGTCCATATCCAAATTGATGTCGGTCAAATCGGTGAGCGAGTCGAGTCGTTTTCTTCTTGTGTGAGGTTTGCATTCCATTTCTTGTAATTTTTTATATAATTTATCGTTCTCTTGTCGATTTTTTGCGTGACGATCATTTAATAATTTTAATTCTTCTTGTAACGAACATACTAATTTTTGATTTGTTTGTAACTCCTTTGATGTGTATAAATATTTTTCTTCGTTTTCCGTTGCGATTGATTCAATTTCTATTAAACGATTATGCAAACCGTTTTGTTCTTTGAGATGTCTTTCTTCTAATTGATTTAATTTTTGGTTTAATTCTCGTTCGGATTTTTCTAAGTTTTGAATTATTTCCTTTTCTTGTTTTTCTCTTACCACTGATTCCATTTGGATTTTTTTATACCTCGTTAATTCAGATTCTAGGTGTTGAATTTCACTCAAAGCGTTCGAAAGTTGTTTTCTTAGCCCATCGACTTCCACCGTTTGCTTATTAATCATATTTTTGTAATCAACCTCGTCTGGCTCTTTAAACCCATCCAATTCGTCTGTAGATACACTGTCGATCGTACTTTGTCTGCTTTGACTTCTTGGTAATTTCGGCCTAATTCTCGTTCGTTCCTTAACCTTAGCTAACGCTGTTCTACTTAACGGCGGACTTGGTGGTAAATCGCCCCAATCACCAGAATCCCTTCTTCCGCCTTCGGAAGCCGTCCGATACTCTTCATCACTAGAAAACAATGCTGAGCGGGGAGTTGCCGGCGTTGAGACGGGACTTTCAACCGATAAAGTCATCGGTGTAGCCTTTTTTAATGATTGTAACCAATTCGATCGTATACCGGATGTTACTGCTGCTAAAATAAGTGTGTGGCCGCTCCATTGTATTTGAAAACCGTAACGAGTGTCTGTCAGGACTTCCGTGCAATCGGTTACAGATGAAAGTTCTATTGTCAGTTCTGGAGTACCTTGTTCGTCTTGATCGCAATAAGCTATTAGAGTTGGTCCGCAAAGAACCCACCAACGTCTTAACCATTCGTTATCGGTTCCTTTTTCTTTATACCAAAGCCAACCCTGTAGAAAAAAAATTTATTAGAAATCAATTAACAAATTTAAAATTAAAAAAATCAAATTTTCAAATAAGATAAAAAGTTATTAATTTGATTGTGGAGAATCATTAGATTTCGTAGTTTTTTCTTTATAAAAAACAGCTAAAAGAAGTGTTTTGGCTTAAAACAATATTTAATATTTCTTAACTTATGAACAAAAGTAATTAACAAACTTACGAAATGTTTGTTAATTACTTTTCTTCACGCAGAATTAAAGACTACTTCCTGTATTGCAGGAAGTGGATTTACTATCTCAGCAATTTAGCTTTTTTCGGTTGTTTCCGGAAGGTTTGAAGTGATGAGACAAGGGGTGTAGATTTCGTCCTGTAAAGCTTAAAACCAAAAAAGTAGAAGTGAAAAGGTATCAACGTCCTGTTAGACCCTTTTTTGAACCACCCCCTTTTTCTCGTTTAAAAGAGACGATTATAAAAGATGAAGTGGTTTCCAGATAACTAACACAACCATGTAAACCGGAAGTAAAATCGAACTTATCACAGCGTATGAGATTTTAAAAGCGATAAAGCACCTAAAAGTGAAAAAAGCACCAAATTTGTATAACAATGAGGAAATGAAGAAACAACAAACTGCTTTAACAACTCTACTTTTTATTTCGCGCGTTTACAGCTCTTATTTTTGGGGAATAACACACCGAAATATTTCGTATTCGCTATTACAAGTTTCTATTTTAAAATCATACTCATGAGATGAAATTTCGTTCATTCGAAGTTCGTGATTGAATGTTTATTCTATTCTGATATTTCGCAAGCTAAATATTTTACCAACTTTTACTTTACACTATTATTAACTGGTAACAAAGGTTTTGATGTTAATGCTTCTTGTGTAAAAAATGGTATTTTTCTCATAAACAATACTGCTTTCGCTTTGTTTGGGTGTTGCCTTGCTGAAGTTGTATTGGGGGCACATAATGAATCTGGTTTTGGCAATTAATAGGTTTTCGGCAGANTTTTTCGTTTTTATTTTTTTGTACTGCTGTCATTCAGCCGATTTCAATAAAATTTTGGAACTGATACTGGAACCATAAAAGACACCCAAAAATGTGAGAAAAGATATATCGTGCCTTTTAAAAAAATATATCATCATAATTTGCTGAAATGCGACCTGAGATACAGTATAAGCCTGCAAAATATTAATCTCCTAACTTAATTAATAACTGAGTTACAGAAGACGAGGCTGAGCTGAAGGACCCTGTATACTAGTGGTGGGAATGGATATCCGGCAACTATCCGGTATCCGGCCTATCCAACCATTTTTTAAAATTCGGCTATTTAAAACCTATTACTTAGTACTCCAGCATTCACAGGAATTAGTATATCTTTTAGGTGTTGGACACTGCAGAAAATAATTAAGTTCAACCCCAACAGGACTTTTTTCATTGAATACAACTTTACTTATCATTAGCAACCTCATTGTAACATCCCAATACGATATATGTATAAAATCTCTTGTTGCAGTTTCGTCTAGTTTTCTTCTCTTCGCTTGTAATTCATCATCACATTCATTACTAACAGNTTATTACAAAATATTTTTGTTTTTTAATTCTGCATCGATTTACATAAAAATATGTAGGGGGTCCAGTTTAAAATAAGAGAGATAAAATGCTTTAAAGTTTGAAAGTTTTGACATTAGATTTTGGCCAGCCTGTATAATTTTGAATCAATGGAACTTGGTTAAGGAATCACTAGACCTTACTTAATAAATTTGACATGAAACTTTATTAATGAGGCGCTTTGTAATTATGATTAATTTTTAAAACCAGCGACGCAAATACGATTTTTTTTCGTTTTTATTTTTTTGTACTGCTGTCATTCAGCCGATTTCAATAAAATTTTGGAACTGATACTGGAACCATAAAAGACACCCAAAAATGTGAGAAAAGATATATCGTGCCTTTTAAAAAAATATATCATCATAATTTGCTGAAATGCGACCGGAGATACAGTATAAGCCTGCAAAATATTAAACTCCTAACTTAATTAATAACTGAGTTACAGAAGACGGGGCTGAGCTGAAGGACCCTGTATCTGGCCTATCCAACCATTTTTTAAAATCCGGCTATTTAAAACCTATTACTTAGTACTCCAGCATTCACAGGAATTAGTATCTCTTTTAGGTGTTGGACACTGCAGAAAATAATTAAGTTCAACCCCAACAGGACTTTTTTCATTGAATACAACTTTATTTATCATTAGCAACCTCATTGTAACATCCCAATACGATATATAGTTTTCTTCTCTTCGCTTGTAATTCATCATCACATTCATTACTAACAGAACTGTCGGTGTTATCACTTTCGATTATTAATTAAAGTATCTTCTTCTTAATGCAAAAAGCCTTTTTGAAAAATCACTTTCAGTTCTTGAGAAATGAATTTTTTCGAATTTTGCAATTTTTGCCGATTAAGTTTTAAAAATTCGTATAAAATCCAGTTCTTGGAATATGAGTATGAAAATTTCCAAAAGTGTTAATAAAAGTATCCTCTTTCCAATGAACCAAACCGTTTTGAAAAATAACCTTTAATTTTTTGAGAAAACAATATTTGAAGTTTAGATAAAATTTTGGATGTTGCAATTTTCATCAATAATTTTCAAAATTCGCTATAAAATTAATTTCTTGAAGGATCCTTGTGGAAATATCACCAATTATTAATTAAAGNGAGATGAAATTTCGTTCATTCGAAGTTCGTGATTGAATGTTTATTCTATTCTGATATTTCGCAAGCTAAATATTTTACCAACTTTTACTTTACACTATTATTAACTGGTAACAAAGGTTTTGGTGTTAATGCTTCTTGTGTAAAAAATGGTATTTTTCTCATAAACAATACTGCTTTCGCTTTGTTTGGGAGTTGCCTTGCTGAAGTTGTATTGGGGGCACATAATGAATCGGGTTTTGGCAATTAATAGGTTTTCGGCAGATTAATTAATAGAAAAATACCGTACTTGTACTAAAAATGGTAGTGACACAAAAGGTTTTGCGAAATAAATGTTATAAAATGAATTGTGCAAACAAATAGGTAAAAATTTATTTTAAGTATAACAAAATAACACAGTTTTTTACCATCTTGTTGAAACCACATTTCTTCGTAGATATTGAGGATTTGTATTGGAAATACAAATGGCATACGAAAGTATGAATTTTTTAAACAACGTGCTCTTTTGCAAAAAAAAAAACAGGCAGTAATATTTTTTATGAAAAGAAAAATGGCAAGTGTTGTACCATTTGGGAATCTTGACTAAACAGGTCGTCTTTTAAAATAACTTACCATGGGTGCTTTAGTACTCCTTTTTTAGAAATGGTGTGTCAAACTTAATACAGATAAGTTTTTTCAATCTTAACTAAATCAAGTTAATATTTTTTCCGCAAAACTACCGACATTTGTTGTTTGATTTGTGACTTCTATAGTAGCATGGTTAATAAGATTGCATTATTAAAAAAATCACTATTAAATTGCAAACATTTCTGGCCGTAGTAAGTAGCTACTTAAAGATATGAGCTACAGGAACAATTTTTAACATTTTCAAAAATATGTCTATTGTAACTTAACTAAGAGACATGTTTTTTTTCGTATTTTTACCAAAACAGGCATGGGTTGGCCTTTCGCGCGGTACCCGCTTGACGTTGAGTTTCGGGACACCTATATATATCGGGTCACAACTGGAATATTCTAAAATTTGAACACGGAATCAGAGTAGAAGAAGAATGAACACAAATATACAAGAATATTATACGCCAATATAACCAACAAAAATATTGTGTGTAATTAACGGCGATTTTTCTCATTGGTTATGTTACAGTGTGGTTCCCTGCAAGGTCTGTAGAACATAAGGTTACCTAATTCCCTATGCCTGTAGTATCGATTATTGCCCCGCAGATTGACGTCACTGGTTCGATACAGTCAGAGTAAAAGATAGCCTATACTGTGGTACAGTCTATATAAAATATTTAAAGCTCGCATCGTGTTGTGTTGTTCATAGAACCAGCTACGTAACTGACCCACCTTGCCTCTCATAGGAGGAGAATCGGTATTGGGTAACCTTATGTTCTATAGACCTTGGGTTCCCTGTACATTGATTGACCAGCATTTTACGCCACCTGTTACGTATTTTCTTAAATTAAATTACAGATTTCTAAATTACCGTATATTTTACATCGTACATTTAGTGGAATTATCGTAGGTGTACGGTAATTACTGTACGTATGGCAACACTCGTTACATTTGAAGACCTAAGTCCTTGTGGACAAAACGGAGGCTTTACTCCTGAAAGACAGTACTGGCTCTATCGGCAGTGGTTAAGACCAATGATCACATACGGAGCGGCAGCTCGGTATAGGAAAGCCCGACAAACTTCAATTATCAGTAATCTTTCAAGAATTCAACCAGTAGCTTTATTGGCAATCTCTGGCAATGGATCATCTGCTTGGCCTATCTTCTTTGCATTAGCATATAGAGAAAGTACCTAGAACTATCATTCACAGGTTTAAGCAATATGCTCAAAACTGCTCCGACATGTCCTACCAATGGGCTGCGTAAGACACATCAGAAGTTATCAGTGATTAATGGAATATACGGCCAGACACTTCGGATTAAACAACCTTACAGGCTGGGTACGTACTGTACTGTATTTCAGGTGGAAGTATGTATTTGCTATTGATATGGGTACTAAAATCTTTCTTGAGAGAGGGGTGAAGAACATGACAGTACGATTTTTCTACGAGTTTTTCTGATCTGGGTCCCATGTCACTCTGAGGTTGCTGGCAATAAAGCAGCAACCCCAGAGTGACCGTTAGTTGTTCATAGCGTTCAAAATGTACTGGGATTTTTTGACGCAAAATCTGAAATGCACGATCGCGCTGCTTGGGACTCAAACGGTTAATTTTACATTGTTGACGGTTCAAGGCAGTTTTAAGCAATTGGGTTTTATTATGGTCCAGGTTTAGTCCAGGTTTGTCTGTTTCAAGACGTTCACAAAAATGGAGCTTATCAATATTCATTTTTTTTGGTCTAAAATTGATGTTATGAATGTGGACGACATTTATTTTCAACGGAATGATGCCATCCCAGCTTTTTCTTTGGTGCTATGTTAAAGATAGGGTCTATGCCACGATTTAAGTGCTCAAAGACAGCATAAGAGCTGTTATTCGCGAAATAGGGCCGCAATTATCAAAACAATGACCGTCTGTAAGCAATGTTGAGGCGGAACATTTGGCAGATATTATTTGGAACATTAACGTCAGAGTTTATACTTTGGACACAAATACGATTTTTTCTCTTAATTTAAAATGAAACCCCTAGTTGGAAGATCCAATATAAACTGCACATAGTTTGACTTGAATCTGGTGTAGATCTAGTGTGAATGAGGTTGGGTTATATTTTATTTGAGTATGGACAGATTATTAGCTTAAGAGATAATTACTTCAAATAACATCTCTTTCAGTGACTGATAAATTATATAAATAATATCAATTTTATTTCATTGTTTATATGATGTGTGGCTAATTTTCAAAATCATTTTCAGAGTCCAAAATTGACTCCAGATAACTTCTTTAAATTTGGTTCAAAATCATCTTTCTATATTCGGAATTAGATTATAGACGTGTAAAAGAGATTATAGAATTAGATTAAGAATAAATTAGATTATAGAAATTGTACCGTGCTTTCAATTAAATTTGCATTTAGAACAAGCCGTGATAATTTTCCTAAGTTTGCAGTACGCAATTTCTGATAACACCTCATTGGTCTGATGACACCACAAGGGCATAGAAACGGCATAAATTAAGAAAAAATTAGAAATTTATACCACATTTATACTTTAAATATGATTTAAGAATCTAAGAATTTTGAATCCGGATTAAAAATTCTATTTGCTCATGTCAAATAATACAAGCAAATCTATTGATCATCGGTTTGGTCGTAAAAATGTTTTTAATTGATTAGAAACTTATTTTATAATTACTCATGTCAAGTTATGTACAAATAAAATATATTATTTTTTCTCCAAATGTGTTTAAATGTAATTATTTAATTGAATGCCAAATACAAACGCATATAACTCAGTGGAAAACCGGTGAACTCGTAAAACGACGATTATTAATACTAATTGGTTAGGTGATTCTGGTTAAACTCATAAGATGGCCAATTTTTATCTGGAAAAAATAGTAATTCAAAGTTGTATAAGTTTGTATAACTTTAGATCTTATTTTTATGTCTTATTATATTTATTACAAATGAGTTTTAGATGGTAGCGGTGGATATAGTACTTATAAACAAAATTTCGCGAATATTTCAGACTATGCACATTTCAATATTAAAAAATTAATAAAACAAATTCTAACTGTTAAATTGCGAAGCGTAACGGAAAGGACTAGAAGACAAGACGAAATACATGACACTACAACGGAACACATCAACGAACAACAGTGCAAATCTGGAAGTCGGTGGTTACATATTTGAAAGAATACAACAGTTCTTTCCTACACATATAACATAGAATAGCTCATGCAGTTATGAAATAAGATTACGTGATATAAAGGGTAATAGGCGTTACTACGAAACTGCTCAAATCTAGAATGTTGAGCAAAAATAGAATAAGCAAACCTTATTAGACAGTGGTATCATATGGATGCGAAGGCCCTAACAACCACAGACTAATAATAACTTATTATGCCTAGTCAATTTGGAAATTTATTTGAAGGCGCAATAGTTCAGGTATGTTCTCAAGCAAGTCAATACCAACCCATTTTCAGGACAGACAACATTAGTGGTGTTGCAAATGAGTTGACATGTCTTATCAGCTTTCTTATTAATTTCATTTTTATTCAAATATCGCAATAATGTGGCAATATCACTTCAGAAATGCACCAGAAATTATATCCATAATAGCCGGCTAGATATGCCGGTTTTTCGCAAAATCACTATCCGTGTCATCACTAGTCAACACCATTTTATTACCATTTTACATCAGCTATAGGCCTGTTTTGGTTCAAGAGTTTCGTAGTTCAGAACTGTTCGGAACTACACACTCTTGAACCAAACAGGCCTTATCAAAATGTCTAGACCTAAAGGCTCTCCGATGTAATTTCTTATACACCATTGTAATATAAGTTAGTTTTTTTTTTACATTTTAGTAACAATAGTTCGTTCATCAAAAATGTTTTAGCTAAAACGAAGAACACGACCAGTATTCTTTTATTACTTTAATTTGCTATTAAATATCTAGTTAGATTTCTTAAAAAAGTGTACCAAAAATAATTAGTATTAATATTTGTAACGAATTTGACATAAACGCATACTTAAAGTTGCTACAACGATATCAACACTTTAAAAACACTTATATGCGCATGTTTTCAACAAGTTATTGCTCAGAAGTGTAGGTGTTTCGCCATAATATGTTGAAAGATCAAGTTGTAATTAATATTTTTATACAGGTATCAAACAATAAGTATTTTCAATTTTCAGAAATAATAGGGAACACTGAAATAAACATTTTTTATTAATACTGTCCGGAAATTTTTCGGTATCAAGATAATCTCTCCTCTTCCGATCCATCTGTTTGGAACATGATTATGATTTATTAACAAAAAATGTTTAGTAAAATTAGGAATATGTATTCTGTGACACCCTGTATAAATATATCTACAAGTTTTATGACTCGTCTTCCGTTATAAACTATTCTTTTTTGATTTTATTTCTGATTTCCCGTACTAATTCTTATCAGCACTTCACTCAAAAGGATAACTTTGCTGTCGTAAATAATTTTATGTCAATTAATTAAAACTTATCTCGTATAAGTATAATAAAACGTAATTTTACCACAGTAAAAAAAAAATAATAAAATCAGGAGTAATTTAATTATTTTTTCAATTAAATTCTCGTCGTTTCCATATATTAAGAATTTCAGTTAAATTTTTTAACTTTAATTTATGACTTAATTATAAGGAAGCTATTATAAAAGTGACTTTACCTTTTTAAGATTTAATAAACCTTCGGCTGGTAAAGCTAAACTAGATTCGGGTGAACGATCTGTAAGAGCAGTTGCAATATCTCGTAACCTTTCATGTCTCCAGTCCCTTCTCGTTTTAGCTTTTTCTTCGCACCTTAGTTTATCTCTGGTTGGTGGTGAACCAGATGTAACCACATAATCTATAATGAAACCAAGAAAATTGAAAGAAATAAAAAATACTCAATATTTTTAAATGTGATATTTTATTAACATGGTGCTCGTGTTGGATTGGCAAGACCAATTAACAGCTTACGATGGTATCTATCCCATTCGTGGCCTGAAGGCGTAATATTTCGTTTCGGCAGAGATTTGCATCACGTATTTATTGGAGAGAAAGAAGACGCGCGAAGGAGTTTCTCATAAATATATCCAATTGGTTAGGCTTTAATTGTATCTTCGCGATATTACAGGTGTATTCGACCGAATTTTCGCAAAGATTATTATTAATGGTCGGGTTCGCGTCGTTGACCCCGTTCTTCTCTTATACGTGCGCCAAAGGAAAATGTGTCATAATAATAATAAAACTCGATTGGCGGAAAGTAGGAGAGGTTTTTATGTAACTCTCGTAACTGTAATTTTCGGCAGTTATAATTATTAACTGGAAAAAAGGGGGTCGAATTACCGCAAGAAAACGCGTGCGTGGTCATACATACATATATTTGCGATTACTTTGCATAATTTCACAGTTTACATTGAAATACGCTCAACTAGGAACTAGAAATCTTCATATAAGCAATTTAAACGTAACGTACGGTGGTTAAAAAGTGAAATAGCAGCCAGTTTCAATACGTACTGATATATCTTTATAGATCTTCACATAAAATATAATAGTTGCATTACGTACAACATTCTAACTCTATCTACTCGACAATCTCTGACATGAAGGAAAGTTGTCCGGGGAATAGTTGCCAGTTTCTATCGATTTTTTTTATTATTTTTACGCCGTTTTGGTTCCGCGGAGAAACCGGAGTGACACGATCGTTTATACGCGATGATATCGACCGCAAGCGAAAACCTTCCGCGACGCGACAGTTCAGGTTATTAGAACAATCGGATTTTCATGATAGATAATCCTTTTAAATAGGATTGATTATAGCGAAAAAGTGGACGAAGGAAGTTTTTGTCATCGGGACGGGTCAGGTAAACTAGATTTTATGCATGACGGCCTCCCCGACCGGGTCCAATTGGAAAGTACCTCGAGCAAAAGGCTCGCCGTTCGCTAGAAGAACCTATTTTGTTATTATCTGTGATTACAGTCGAGGTAGAGAAGACAGGACAATCTCGAAAAATACAAGCCCTCCCATTTTCTTTTTTATTGTGGTTGCTACCTCCATCATCATCTATTTCAAAACAAACCATAAATCATAATTAAAAAAAAGTACTTTAAGCCAATTTCAAGTTTTATTGAATTTTTATTGCAGTAAAACCTCGATAAAGCTATACAACAATCTAACGCTCAATAATAACAAATTAGAGTTAGTACTAGAAATAATACTAGACCTAGAACTAGAAACATTTGGGTTTAGCCGTCTTAAGAGACGTGCGTCTAAATCCGAATGTTTCTAGGTCTAGTATTAGTTCTAGTAACAGTGCTAGTATAAAACTAGAACTAACATTACACCTAAAACACGACAAAACCTAGACGAATGATAGACGATGACAAGAACCCGAATGATTCTTGCTCTACTCCAGTGTTAGTTCTAGTTTTAATAATTCCTCAAGTATCTGAGCCTATGATAAAAATGGGTTAAGTTATAATGATTTAATGCAAAAAATTAAACAATAAAGTTCTTACAATAAATTTTAAGTTTTATAACTAATAACTTTATAGCTCAGTTATTTGACTTTTAAACGTCAATTTGATAATTAAACGTCAATTTGACAATTAAACGTCAATATCGTTTAAATTTTATGGAAATACTGAAATTGATGATATATATTACTATAAATCAAAAAAGTTATAAAAAAAACTTGTATGAAATATCCGATATTCATCAAAACATTTCCAAAAATTTAGGTTGGTACGATTTTAGGGATATGTGTTGTGGTCAATGTCAAAATGACGTTTATTTGACTTTTAAATGTCAACTTGATCGATAAAGTAGATTTCATCGATAAAGAAAGTAGATTTTAAACAAAACTCAAAAATCAGTTAATTTGATGAAAAAAATCTTTGTGAAATATGAAAAGTGGCGAAATATACTGATATCTCATAAAATTTATAAAAAAATTGGTAGGAAATATTAGACATTCATTAAAAGATTTCCAAAAATTTAGGTTGGTACCATTTCAGGGAAATGTATTGTGATTTCTAAACGACGTTTAAACATCAAAAAATTAAGATGACATTTGTATGTCTAAATCATTAAAAAAATCAAATTTGTCTAAATCATCTTTTGGCCGACGATCGTTTCTACCAATACGCATTTTTGCTCTAAACCCGATATTTTCTCTTAAGATAGAAACTCGGAGTTATCATAAAAACGTCATCTTTCCCAAGCAAAACTTTTCCTTTGCAAAACTACCCAGCGCCTGTGCTATAATTTTATGTGGGTCAGTGCATAGAAAAATTTATATATATTATGTATATAGAAGGTCATCTCCCCACTACTTTTTGGGACATTCAGCGCTCCCAAGGGGATTGTGAGGGAACTAATTAGGTTAAAGCGCGAAATTTAAATATAGGTCTATACCGGTTTATACCATTACTTTATTTTGAAGAGGTCAAGTGCATTTTCCAAATAAATAGGAAAAAATATGAATTTAAAGTTTTTCCAAGATAATATTCATAATTTTTAACGTATATTGCTCTCATTGGCAAAAAGCGCCAATTTATCTATTGGATAAACTTATCAAGAGGTGGTAAAAGTGGCCCTAACTTATTTAAATACTTAACTAAAGGATATAAAACACTAAACCAAAAGAACGTAAGGAAGAAAATTTGCTTATACAACAGGGTTATCACCAATTATTACACTAAACGACAAAACAAAAATGTGATGTTTGCTTTCACCTCTGAGTTTGACGTTATACATAAATTTTTCTATGGTTACAAGCGCTTTGTTTGTGTAGATAATGCAGATTGCTGCAAATTCAGTTTACAACGTCATCCAGTGGATTGTGAGGGTACTAAATCTCGGTCTACATTTTTATAGTAGTAAGATTGCACACCATGGGTCAGTGCAAGTGCATAGTAGTTTTGTAACTATGGGTACTGCATTCATATATTGCGAGTTATATGAAATTCCCTGTATATTAATAAAATGATTACTCTTAGAGGGATCGCCCCAAGGTGTTGGATAGGGAAATGCCTTTGTTGATCTGATTCTGATTAAAAGTGCCTGAATTATGGCTGGATCAATGCATATCAAAAGATCGATGGGTAAAGACAGTATACCGCCAAAGGCAACTATACCACAAGGATCCCATAATTGGAAGGAAGGATCTTAGAGCGAGGATTCTCATAGGATTATAGTGTCAATAGTGTTTAGCCGTCTTAAGAGACGTGCGGCTGTACTCGAATGTTTCTAATTCTAGGTCTAGTGTTAGTTCTAGTTTTTTTGTTTCAACGAAAAATATACAACAATCTAACGCTGAATAACAACTAAAACAAGAACTAACACTCGCATTAGAACTAACGCTAGACATAGAACTAGAAACATTCGGCTTTAGCCGTCTTAAGAGACGTGCGACTAAACCCGGATGTTTATAGTTCTAAGTCTAGAGCTAGTTTTAGTGACAGTTCTAGGTAACGCTAGCTAGCACTTGATATCACTGTGTTGCGTATTTTTATAGAACTAACACTAGACTTAGAACTACAAAGTTTCTCTAGGTCTAGTGTTAGTTCTAGTTTTATTTGTTATTCAGCACTTGATTGATGTATACTTTTATTAAACGAAAAGTAGAACTAACACTAGACCTAGAACTAAAAACATCCTTCTTTAGCCGTCTTAAGAAACGTGGGGCTAAACCCGTATATTTCTAGATCTAAGGCTAGTGTTAGTTCTAAAGCTAGTGTTCGTTCTAGTTTTAGTTTTAGCTATAACGGATACTCCCTTCCCGGTATTATTCCGTTATATCAAGATTTTACTGTATTTATAATTTGTTTTCTGTCGAAGTAAAGATAGGTTTATTTCATTTTCTTAAAAGCACTTAAGAAATGAAGTTTGGGAGGTTGAAAGGATTCCTTAAAGAAATTTATTCGTTCCTGATACAACTTTGAAAACATCATAAACCATTTTCTAATCCTAATTATATGTTCGAGGATGTGTCGTTTCTTTTGCGAGAAGTCTTGGTTTTCCGACGCGCACATCCATCTCATCGCGCCGTCATTCCTATCATTTCCATCGGACGCAGGTTGAAAGTGAACCCGAGAAAATTGCAACCGTCGGAACCGACACGCATCGCAAACGAACGAATACCTGTAATTTCGCGATTCCGCGAGGGGTGGGTATCGGTTACTCAGGCGCGCGGTAACTGATTCCCTTTACAGAGTCTTTTCCTTCTTTCTTCGACGATTCTCTCTCGCGCCCGATCTCCTTTTTCACGGCGCCCCCTCGCGGCGACCGACTACCCATCATTGCCAATACTTTTATTTTTCGTTTTGTGTACACGTTCCGACCCGAGAGAAGATATCGCGCCCTGATTACATCCTACGACGGGTCATCTTTCAAGTTCGGGTCGACCAACAACGAGCATGATTACAACATCCAACATGGTTATCAAGAAATTATTTTTTTTTACCTGTTCTCGGTGGTGGTGTAGTGTCAATTGTTAAAGTATTAGTTGGTTCCGGAAGCCAAACGGGTCTTGAGGCATCTTCTTTCGATGGGGATTCTCTTTCCTCTTTTAACGGAGGAGTTGTAAAGTTTGTACGAGGACTTGGTCCGGTACAAGATAAATGTCTGGGTCTTGGGGGTTGAGGTGAAGCACTTCTCCCCAATTGGGGTAAACTTGGCGAAGCTCTTCCGCCGGGAAAAGTTGCGTTTCTTTTATGTCGCCTTGGAAAAACTGCAAGCAACTCGGCCCACCATCTTGCGTCTTCCCTGCTGGCAGCTTTGACAAATGTCACCCTATCAGGACCTGTCAAAGCTAGGGAATGAGGGTGACCAGTTATTTGTTCTGCTCCGGTTACCTCCAATACTTTTGACATGTCGACTGAACCTTGAGGGACGGTATCTGGCTAAGAAATTACAAAATCAAAAAAAAAAAATTAATATCGTGACGATGTGTGTAATACATAATAGTAAAAAGCGTTGACCTCGAAAACGGTCAGGAAAGTAAAGTTACGGCGCGCCGACGCGGCTCTGGCTCTTACATACTAATTTCAACCGTAAAAGAGTCGCCCATAAATTAATATAATGCTTGCATAGCTCTTCCTAGGCCCCGCGTATAATTACTCCCGTACGAACGCGTCTTTTCCTTATACAGAGACACGCACTAAGTGGAATTCTGGAACGGACCGGGGGCACGATAAAACATGCGTGTAACGCGCGCGCAATCTTATTCGCCATTAAGAAGCCCATGAATTATACGGACTTGGTGTTTTTCATCTGAGGTTCACGTTTGTTTTTCAATTTCCCCAAGAAAGGACACAAGAATGTTTTTTCTTATTCCTGTCTTTCCTAGAGATATATATTTTTTCTTCAGTATTGAAAAGCAAGTAAACTATTTCAATACAGGGGTAAAAGGATACAGGTGATGGGAATGATTTTAAATGTCCCCATTTAAATCTCCTAGCGTAATTAGGAGCAGAAACGAATGATACACATTCCGTTCGTCGTGTAATTGCCAATAATAAACAGCCGGACCGGCTAATTATTTTTAAATTGCCCGGTGTCCATTCCTACATGAGCACCGTACACGCGATCCTTCACCATTTGCATGTCATTCTTACGAAGCGGTAATACGACCTAACTACCTATACTAATACAAATAAAATCTCAATATCTTCTTATCTAAACTCAATTTTAATACACATACGATTAAACCAAAAAAAATTTTAATCCTTTATAAGCAACCTTGCGACGACCTCTTCTCACTTTCTCCAAGATGGTCCTTACAAGGCTTGTTCCCTTGAGAAGTCGCCGTTCGTCTTTCCGTCCCCAAGGGAACGAGAATCGAAGACCACTTTTTGTCTACTACTACTACACGTGGATGCAGGAAGTGAAGAGCTCTCGGATCGCGTATATAAATATACATACACGTACGTACTACGTATGTACGTAGGTGAAGAGACGAACATAGGACATAGGAGAGTAAACGTAGTAGTATTATACGTGGAGCGCAAGTGCAGGAGTCAATAACCTGATGTGTGTTTCGCGTTTTCGTTTTCTTTTCCGATATACTCGCACGCGATCACTTCCTGTCACACCAATCCGAGCAAGTAACTTTTTTCCTCCCTTTTTCTCAGTTAACAAATATTATGGTTGGCTTTAAAGCATAACGACTCTTTTAAGTCAATGTCTAAATCACTGCGTTATCCTACAAAGATATCATCCTGAACTAAGAAAAAACAGGAATACTGTAAAACCTCGATATAACGGATTAATACATTTTAATACATAATTATTTTAATGCACACAAATTCGTATAGCTATTGCGTTCAGTCAAGACCGCTACGTTGCATTCAGACTGTTAGATCCCAGGAACAGGTGCACAGCTCGAAGGTCCGTTCGTGACATCAGCACTGAATAATAATTAAAACTAGAACTAACACTAGAATTTGCTACAACTTCTGTATCATCAAAGTTTTTCTGTATCATGCTCGGAATACCGATTTTTTCCGTTGACAACTTGTGAATCTGCGAATTCTTCTAATTTTCTCGACATTAATACATCAGAGAGCATAATTAATAGAAGCCAATGTGTTAAGGGTAAAATTTGTTACAACTTTTGGTCTAAAACTTTTTTGTGCCATGCTCGGAATACCGATTTTTTCCATTCACAATTTATGAATCTGCGAATTCTTCAAATTTTAAAATTTTCTCGAGATTGATGTATCAGAGAGCAAAAGTAATAGAAGCCAATGTGTTAAGGTAAAATTTGGTACAATTTTTTATCTAAAAGTTTTTCTGTATCATGCTCGGCATACCGATTTTTTCCATTGACAACTTATGAATCTGCGAATTCTTCTAATTTTCAAATTTTCTCGAGATTGATGCATCAGAGAGCAAAATTAATAGAAGCCAATGTGTTAAGGGTAAAATTTGCTACAACTTTTGGTCTTAAAGTTTTTTTGTATCATGCTCGGTATGCCGATTTCTTCAATTGACAACTTGTGAATCTGCGAATTCTTCTAATTTTAAAATTTTCTCGAGATTGCTGCATCAGAGAGTAAAATTAATAGAAGCCAATGTGTTAAGATAAAATTTGCTACAACTTTTGGTCTAAAAGTTTTTCTGTATCATGCTCGGACTGCCGATTTTTTCCATTGACAACTTATGAATCTGTGAATTCTTCTAAATTTAAAATTTTCAGATGCAGAAATTTACACCTTTCAATCTTACTATTAATCCCTCATCTTTTAACACACTGAACTGACTATTTTAAGCTTCTCTATACCTTCATCGACGGTATTACTTGTTATTAGGATGTCATAAATATATGCTAAAGCAATGCTAGGTCCAATTTTCTTCATAACAGCATAATTAGTCGATTAAAGACGCTTGGGGCATTAAAAAATCCAAATAGCATGCGATTAAATTCATACAATCCGCCATTCGTAACAAAAGCAGTTAAATATTGTCAGATCGGTACTAGTAAAGTATTTTTTCCACTTAACTGATCCAATTGATCTTCAACTGAAGGCATTTGGGGATACTCCTTTTTAGTAATCGCGTTCAGCCGCCTGAAATCAATGCATAATCTCTCTCCTCCATTTTTCTTTCCAACAAGCACTACTGGACTGGCATACTCAGACGTATTATTCTAGTCTGTAATAATTCTTCTACTTGTAGTTCTACAATTTCACGTTGTAAGTATGGTAGTAATCGATATGGACGACATGTAATAGGTTCACAACTAGTTAAATCAACCCAACCTAACCCAATCCAACGCAACCCAACAAGCACTACTGGACTGACATACTCAGACGTATTATTCCAGTGTGTAATAATTCTTCCACTTGTTGTTCTACAATTTCACGTTGTAAGTATAGTAATCGATATGGACAAGATGTAATGGGTTCACAACTAGTTAAATCAATTTTCATCTCAACCAAATCAGTACATCCCAATTCAGCAAAGTTTGTTGCAAAAATGTCCTTTTGTTGATTGAGTAACTTTCTCGTGGCGATCCACTTTTGGATCAACATCAATCATTTCTTCTTCAATGCATACTTCCTCTTCAGGTTCTTTTTGGACTTTTTCTTCGAGTTCCATTTTAATCTCTTCTTCGGGTTCTTTTTCAACTTTGGTTGTCAATATATTGTATTCTTTTGTGATTCGAATACTTGGTTGATCGACAGCATTTCTCCCAATAATCATGGATTTCTTCTGTTACTTATCTGGGACAACAATTAATTCTAATACTTTCAATCGATATACAACTCTTTTGCTTCTTTTTCACGAATCGTTGTAACATCACTTCCCAAATCAACGAAACCAATCGATTTTCTTCCATTAACCTCTACAATCTTATGATATTCGTCCATAAGGTCAAACTGTTTTCCAATTCCATTAATACTTCTTCTTGATTTACAATTTATTGTAATACGTCCATTTTGATTACATTTAAAACATTTTCTCTGTTTAAGTTTTGTACATTTTGAAGCAATGTGACCATGTTCTCCACAATTATAACATCTTATTCGTATCTTTTGGTTCAGAATTGTCTTGCTTCAGAATGTTTTTCTGAATAACTCCCTTATTTGTGTTTCTATTCATGGCTTCAATATTTTTAATCTTAATCATAGATAATATTTTACCCAAATTTTTATTACTGAGTTCAAAATGAATATCGGTCTCATCAACTAAATTTCGAAATGAATTTCACTCTGTGTTCTATCATACCATAGTTTTGCTGCCCTTCAAGTTTGGAAATAGCATTAAACAATAGATTATCCTCATTTCATCCAAAAATATTAGTAGTTGTTTCCAATTTCTTCACCCATTGTGATGTCGTTAATGAGTTAACAACATCGGGGTTACATTTAGGTAGTACGACACCATCCACATTACCTCTATGACCTTTCTTATTAGATCATTCTCTATTTTCTAATAAATCTCGTTCCCATTTTATGATATTATTGTCAAACTCACCACTTTGGTCTATTGTTTTCCATTCATTCCCAAATTCATTCAACATACTACAATTATCATCTCTCATCTCGAACTAGCTTTTCTCTGGATTCGTCATCTTTTCTTCGTAACTCATTGCAACACGTGTCTTTTTTTTAACCTCACTTTTCTTTACCTTACTATTCACCTCTCTCAATTCTCTCTTCAAGTCTTTTATCTCACTACTGCTTTGTTAAACTTATATAAGATAAACATTTAGTTTAGATGTTTAAAAAGTGCTAACTAGCGCTACCTAGCACTGTCACTAGAACTAATAACTAACTAAAACTAGTAGTTCGTTATATCGAGGTTTTACTGTACTTCCATAATATACCCATTTTAAAATGTCCTACATTGAAATAGAAGACTATGTTGTCAAAATTTTTTAATGACGAGAAAGTAGTAATAGAAGCCAGGCCCTTGAATGAATGGATGTTGTAAGACATGCAGATGGCGGCGTAGGTTTAATTAAGGCGTTGAAGCAACGGGCCAAACGAGTATAATAGTTTGGTGCATATTTAAAAATGTGCACGATGGTGCGCCCACGCGTTTTCGTAGAGTACATAGCGATTATTCGTATATGAAGGAGGTAAAAGGCGTACTCCTACGGGGACCGTTTTCAATCAAATTAGGACTATGGCGTAATTGCAATTTCAAAATATTCGTATACTTATAGTAGTAGTATTAATTCCATCTTCAAAGTCAACAAGGAAAATACAAATTATATCACGTATATCTAAAAGAAATCTATGAACGTGAGTGGAAATAGATTGAACATTTAGATTTCTCTTTTAAACAAAATACCGCTTGATTAATATTTAATGGGGGGTGGGGAAATAGTCATTTTAAGTTAATACAAATTCCAAAACTAGATACTAAAACGTTACGAGCGGCCTTCCCGAAGATTGCATCTGCGAGTTTACAGGACTTTTATTAGACTTACGTGTTCGTCCACTGAATAATTCAGCTCGCCGTCGTCGTACAGCACGAACCATCTCCTCTGCCATCTCTGCAACAAACAACAACAACGATGAGAGTAAGTAAGCGAAAAACGGGCGAAACGTTAGATTTTACGGACGCGCATTCTGCCGGCATTTAGGACCTCTTCGTCCTTCCGTCCCATCGTCATCTCCAGGTCGCGAACGATCTCTCTTAACGATACCAAGAGCAACAGAACCAAATGCACGTCTGAACATATCATATCATCAAAACTTCCAACAAACATTCCCAACCCTACATACTAACGTAACAACAATTCAAAACCACGCCACCATCTCTCGAGATCAAGAAGAGATAAAGAAGGTCGCGAGTTGGCACACAGAAGGTCGCTACCATACGCGGGTAAAGGTCGTCCTCCTCCGTCTCTACCAGCGACAACCTACAATTAAGGTCTATTTTCAACCTACCAAAAAAAGGACCGCCCAAAATCACAAACTGTAGGAGCCAAAACAAAAAAAATAATCCGAGGTTGAAGGCATGTCCGAAAATAGATTCGCAGCATCCGGTTTACTGGACGACTGACACTGTATGCTAATCTGCGCTTAATCGCCTACTTTGGCGCCCTCACGCAAAAAAAGAATCGACCTCCTCCTCCTCCGCAACCTTTTCTCTTTCTCTCATTACGATTCGCGTTTCTCACCTCTTTCTGGTCGACGAGTACACTTTATCTCTCTTTCACTCTTCTTTCGATATAGTCTTAAGGAGGAGTTAATCCGGCCACGGAGAACAGGTGATTAATTAGCAGACCGTACAACTCGTAATTCACGCAATTCGATCGTGTTTACTTCTCTTTAAACAAGAACAAGACAAACCAATTTATTTTATACAACAAATTCTACTAAAAAATTACTTTAATTATTTAAAAATCTTAAAATTCTTAACATGGTAACTAATCGTGCGAAAAAGGAGTTTTTCATAGTCTTAACGATTTAAGAGCACGCTGGTAAAATTTCTACCACGATAGTTACGCTGTTTTTATATACCTGCAATTATTTCCGCTACTTTGTATGATGATTATATGAAAATTGAATGCTTGAACTCCGAAACAAATGGTTTCTTATTTATCTTCAGTCGCCTTAATTGGGATTAGCAAATGTGACGATCATCAAACGAGCTCCTGAATGAGTAAATTTCTGCCAGTTCGATACAATTATTTGTTATTACTTTATATATTATTTCGAGGAATATCTCAAAGATGAAAAAATGAAAATAACTTCGTATTAGAAATGTACATGTTAAAATTGAACGAACTAAATTGTAGATCGATCGCGTTTTATCTGTAAAGATCTTGATTCTAGCCCATTAGATACAAATTGTTGTATTATTCAACAGTTATTTGTATGACAAGGTTGCGATGTTTTATCTTTTCTAGCTCGATCATATTTTATCTGTAAAGGTCTTGAATGTAAACGCATCGGACATAATTAACACCGGTTTCAATATCTCGTGATTCACAAATATGTACTTTTACTGCCTTAGTAGACGATGACGATAATGAAGTAAATTAAAAGAAGAAAACTTGCGAGATATGAGTACAATCAATTTGGGTGAAATAATACTAATGAAAGACGAAACTTGGATTATAACCGTTAAATCGACGAAGCGGGAGCGATATAGACTTAAAAGTAGGACTCTACAGTTTGGATTTACGAGATATCATTTGGAAAAAAGGATAAAAGTGTAAAAATGTGTTTTACTGAGGTTAAGGAAGCAAGGGGTAAAGTAGCTATGAACATAATCAAAACGTGGCGATACCCCTAAGTAAAACTTGGGCAAAGAGGATGCTGTGAGGTATGACGGAGTGGAAAGGGAGATAGAAGAAAAACATGATAAGATGACGAGAAACTCCCTTCTTTCCAGATAAGTGTGAACCGACGATCTACAAGTAACATGTAGAAACGAAAAGATTGAAGTATTGGACATTCTGAACCAAGTAATTGCAGCTTCCAGATGAAGAGTGTTTGGTTTTAGGAACTACCTCGCAACGTTGCTATAAAGTTGAAAATATAATTTGAAAACTGTTAGCATGGGTCTAAAAATATTTATGCCTGGATACAGCTGAGAGAAAATCTGTTTATTGTGAATTCACAAAATAAGTAGTTGGTTTCCAAAATAATTCGGTAATTTCCAAAATATGCTGGAGAAGATGGAAAATTGTCCTAGTTGTAGATTCTCCTAGTAAAAAGATCTACAACCTCAGTTGGTAAAGCCGAGGCGGCAAGCCTAATTATACACTAATCTAATTAGGCGTCATAATATGTTGACTAGTTGATATAATGTTATAATCACTGAGATGAAAAGATCTACAACTTCAGCTGACAAATGTGTGGAAGAGGCGCCACAATATGATGACTAGTTTCTGTTTCGATTTGTGGTTGATATAATGTAAATTACTGAGCCTCGGCCGGAAGCGACCTCAGCTAAACGAGTAGGCCGAGGCGCCACAATATGATGACCACTCTGAGGTTGATATAATGTTTATCACTGAGATGAAGAGATCTACAACTCAGCTGATAAAGCCGAGACCGCTAGAGGCGTTACAATATGATGACTAATCTCAGGTTGATGTAATGTTAATCACAGGGCAGTCTAGTACGCAAGCGATTAATCACTGAGATAAAAAGATTTGTAACCTTCACTGGTAATGCCCCACAATATGATGACTAATTTCTGCTTGATATAATGTAAATTACTGAATTAATCAAAAGATCCATAACTTCAGTTGATAAAGCCGAGACGAAACAATATGATGACCACTCTCAGGTCGTTGTAATGTTTATTATTGAGATGAAAAGATCTACAACCTCAGTTGACAAAGCCAACGCCGTTTGAGGTCGAAGCGTTATAATATTATGACTAATTTCAGTTGATGTAATGTTAATCACAGAGCCTCGGCTTAATTAGTCAAAAGATCGACAACTTCAGTTAAAAAAGCCGACGCCAAAGTATGATGACCACTCTCAGGGTGATATAACGTTAATCGTTGAGATGAAAAAATCTACAACCTCAGCTGGTAAAACCGAGTCCGCTTACGGCTGAGGCGTTATAATATCATGATTAGTCTTAGGTTGATGTAATTTTATCACAGAGCCTCAGCCACAACTGACCTTGGCTTAATTAGTCAACAAATCTACAACTCCAGTTGATAAAGCCAAGGCGCTACAATATGTTGACCAGTCTTAGGTTGATATAATATTAATCAGTGTTAGAGATCATATTATGGAGCATTGGGAATGAGGAGAATACATTCTCTTTCACAATTCTTGGAATATACCTTTGACACCTTGAATCGAAAACTCTATATAAAGTCTAGCTGTCATATTACAGTTTAAATGGCTCCTCTCGGAATTGTGGCTTTGTTAATTTAATATTACCCGTATATGATTTCTTATTCGTTCGATTATGGTATTTGCCTGATTTGTTTTTATCATACAACTTGAACATGATTTCTTTTACTGACTAGGTTATTGATCCTACCACTAGAAGTTTGAAGACCATAAACACTCATAAATTAGAATTTGCAAAGCGTGATGTGTTTCCAAAAAACAGTTACAAAATATTTTGGATTAAACTGCCTACTAAGTCCTTGTGTAAGTGAATATTTGAACAATTAAATTGTGAGAATTGAACATATCCAAAAAGGTTACTATTCTGCAAATCATAGGATCCAGGTCCCAGGATTCAATTATTTATACACATATAAAGGTGAGAAAGTATAAAATGGCCTTCTTACCTTCATAAATCATTGATATGGTCTTAAAAATATCGATTTGTAACTATCTTCACGGAAATTTAATCAAATTTCTCCAGTACCAATAAAAATAAAGAGAATTGGTTTATATTTATAACCACAATTTCAAAAGTGATTTAAGATAAGGCGTTTATGACTGGTATTTTATTTATAACTGTACATTTAGTAAGGTAAATAAGAAAAATACAGCCGAGGTAAGAATCCAGACATCAAGAGATAACAGTTTCTCTTCGCGGAAATCGAAATTCATCGATATCTGTGTTGGTGCACAAACAATGAACGTGTAAATACCACTCCTCGTTCTTAAAATAAAATAAATATGTAAACCAAGCCGCATCTCGATTACCATTTATTTTTTAACGAACCGAAACTAAGCAATGAGAAGAGAAATTTCCTTGAAATTTCACTTTACCCTCGTTAAAAGGCGGGTAAAAATCGGGGCGCGGTTATTAATCCGTTCCGATCGTTTATTTCGTTCGATAACGTTAAACAAAAGAGTAAGAAGAGAGAAAATGGGAGAGCAACGCGAAATGACAATCGGTGATCGGAAACAATGGAAAGCGCGGCGCGAACCGATTAGAGACGCTCCGTTTCCGATCAAGAAGTTTCTACGTCCTTCTTGTCGTCCGAACCAGGAAGCAAACTAACTCCATCCTTGGACACAATACCAACCAAGTAGAACGAACAAAATTTACTATTATTATCATCCAAGAAATTCTATGGAGAACAATTTTAAAAAACCAACCTAAATTCAACTATAAGAAATTTTCAAGTTTATTTTTTGTCTAATCCTACGAATTTTGAATTCAAGATTCAAAACTGGTTTTGTTGTCACGATCACAAGCTCTTGTTGGGAATAACGAGGAATCGGTTACGGTAGTTCTTCTTAACCCAGTTCCTCTGCGGGTTTGTGAGTATCTGGGTTTCCGTTCATCTTCTATACGGATCGCGCGCGATCGGATCTTTTACGCTTTTATAGGAAAGACCAAAAGTCGTCGAGGGGGTCAGTGGAACGGAAAAAAAAGAAAGACGCAAAAGAGGAATAAAAAAAAAAAGAAAAAAAACGAAGTAGTCTTCGGACGAAGTCTATCGTTCGGACGATAACCGTGACGAAATCTGACAAATATGTGTCTTGACACAGATTTTGGATACAGAACAAAAAAAAATAGATTAAAAAAATTAAATAAACGAAGAAATGGGGATTAACTGAAAAGCAAAGAAATAAAAATAAACATGATTCGTCGATTCTTCTTTTCAGT